GGGGGGGGGGGGGCAGCAGGGAATAGGGGACACTTTGCCAGGGTGCCCCTCGGAGTTACCAGAAATAATGGCCACAAACTGAAGGAGAACAGAATTAGTTTGGACATAAGGAAGAAATTCTTTATGGTAAGGGTCGCCAAAATTTGGAATGGGCTCTCAAGGGAGGTGGTGCTTTGCCCTACCCTGGATAGGTTGAAAGCAGATTAGACAGGCATCTGGCTGGGGTTACCTAACCCCAGCGCTCTTTCCTGCCTGGAGCAGGGGGTTGGACCCGATGATCTGCCAGGTAATAGATTTCTAGAGTTGGAAGGGAAGTAAAGTGTTCTGACTAGCAGTGGCTGGATGATATGTTTGACCCTAACAGATGCCACTAATACATTATTCTGGAAAGCAAAGAAAATGCTGTTTCAGAATGGTTTCATGCAAGAATGGTTCAACATGAGTATCACCTGCATTTTTTTTTCCAGCTCTTACAATGACCCAAAGTGGGCTCAGCTTGATTTCCATGACAGGAAAACAATATGCAAGATATAGTTATAGCTCTCCTTGAAATGGAATGAAAGGCTCAATATGAGATATACTAGAAAATGGTTTCAACTGCCATAAAAGCACCATAAGTCATAAGAGGAGCCAGTCTTTTGATAAAGACGTAATAGATTTGGTAAATTAATTAATTATCAGATTCACTAATTAAAAGATTTTTAAAATCAATTAGAACCAACTCAGTATCTTTAAAAATACTTTACTCACTAGAAACTGAAGAATTACCCAACTAATTTTAGGGACTCTAGGTAACCCTTTCACTTGTGCTAGGGACACCATGTGACCCCAATTTTTCCTATACCAAGGGGCGCTGCCCCTTTCCTTCAACTGCCCCCTTCTATACCACAGCAAAACCCTCCATTCTCCACCCCATCAAGGGTTCATATGCCCTCATTCTTCCCCCCCAGTCTCTCTTAACTGGGACAAAAGTCAGACTGTCAACTTACAGAACTACTGTGAAAACCTTGAGAAATGAGAACATTATTATGCAGAAGTGCGCTCATGTGTGTTAAATGCCACCTTCTTTGATTTATAGGAATAAGTGCCTGAAGGGTGGCTCACCGCGGGGTGTTTAAAATGTACTATTTGACAGACAGGCAGACAAACTGATGTAAGGGCTTGAATATACTGTGAAATGGTCTGGATTATCTGTTGCAGAACAGGTATTCAGCAACAGCTCCCAGTATGCATATTCTTATTTGGCAGTGAAAGTGCTTTTCTGGACTATTTGAAAATCAATTAAGCTAATCTGCAAAAACATATTCTTAATGCTGAATGAGATGGTCCCAAAAAAAGGTATTGCAGATAACCTTTGGTATGAATCTGAAGTGAGATATATATATATTTTGTGTGTGGGGCAAGGGTGGGCTGTCTGCTCCAGGCTCAGGGACAGGGGATGCATTGGCTTCTTTCTAGCAGGAAGGCTGGGCCAGGGCTGCATTTGGGGGGTGGTGGCAGGGCAGGTGGTGGCAATGCTGGGGGAGGGGGGGTACATGGTGGGCAGCAGACACCCCAAAATTTGCCACAGCCTCCCTCCATAGGCATCCTCCCAGCACTGCTGCTGCATGCCTCAAGCGCAGCCCTGGCCCAGCCCCCCAGCCAAGTAGAGGCCATCCCAGCCCCTAGCTCCAGCAAGCTACCCATGCTCATCCCAGACAGTAAACTGGGGGGCACATGCCCCCCACGCCTCCCCTGGGACTGCACACAGCAGTGGGAGTCACCTTGTCTCCCCCCCTCACCCAAGGCCTCTGGACAAGCTGCCCATGGCTCCATGCTGCACCCCACTCTGCCTGGGCAGCACCTGCCCCAGCCCCCACTCCCTCCCTCA